TCAGTTGGACATTCCCCGGGGTGCCCGGGCCTGCCAGAGGGATGTCTGACTGTGAGCTTAGGCCTGATCCCCTGGGGAAGTGGGCCTAAACTGGCAGGTGGACATCCCCCAAGTGGTCCCAGACTGTGAGAGGGCACAGGCTGGGCTGAGGGACCCCTCCCCCATGAGTGCACAAATTTTCGTGCACTGGGCCTCTAGTCTATATATATATATATATATATATATATATATATATATATATATATATATATTACTACTATATATAGTCACTACTATATGCCAGTGTCCGTGACAATCGTGACGACCAAACGACCAGTCACCATGAGGTGCATTGAGCACTTCTTGGTCCCTCCCCCACAGCCACAGGCTCAGATCACAGCAAGGCGGGTGGCGGGCAGGCAGGGCAGCGAGTACAGCAAGCAGTGGCGGGCAGGTGGGCAGGGCTGCGAGCAGCAGTGGGCTACCATGCATGATTTCGCATGCTGGGCCTCTAGTCATAGGTAAGAATGGAATTAATTATTGGCTAGCTAGAGTGCATCAGAATGCAGGTTACTGGCACAGATTCAGATAGCTACCCCACCCCCAAATTTCTTATTTTCCCTTTCAGCCGAGGCTTGTTTTGATTCATTCTCAGATTCTTTGAGTCCTTCCTGGATAGTGAAGATGGGCCTAGAAGGACCTGGTTCACAGGGAGACCTTGAGGGGGTAGAGGGAGTTCGCTCTGTGATGTCTCCCACGTGGTGGGGGAAGGACAGACGGGTTTCCTGTAGATGCTAAATTATTTTTAAAAACGAGCAGCGGTGGGCACCAGGAGGCTGGAAACAGCTGGTCGTGACGTGTGGTCACGTAGAGAACTTTAGGCCTGCAGTCAGCATAAGAAGTCACTCATTGATTTGGTTAGATTCAGCTTTGGTGCTTTATAAAGTAGCCCAGTGAAATTAGCCTACATTTTAGGCAGGTGGATGAGGACCAATGATGGAGACCTAGCGTTAGCTGCAGGGAGATATGAAATGTGGTGCCTGTGTCTGGATTTCCATAGTCTCAGACACAGTGCCGATCAATGCGAGGAGATAGCTGGTAAGTTCCAAGCTGCTTGATGACCTGGCTGCACCACTCAGCACAGGAGTGGTCAGCACCCAGGCTCCTCCCCACCATGAATGGAGGAAGTGAGATTTCCACCAGATCTTGAGAAGGGGGAGGATTTGAGAGGAGAATAGATGAAATGTTCCAGAAACCCAGGAGGTTGGCATTGCCCTGGGACATGCTGACCAGGGATGAACTGAGAGATGAACAGCTAGGAGGTACATTCAGTGGGAGGGAGAGCTCTAAACATCTGCAGTGCGTTCAGGGGGGACAGGAGGAAGCAAGGGCATTGTTTAGGAGGAAGAGTCTGAAGGTACCAGGAAAATGGTAGGAAGTAGAGCCTCAGGGTTCAGCTAGCCAGTCAGGAGCATGCTGAAAATCACATCCTGGCTACACAGGGTAGAGACTGGAGGAGAAACATTTTAATTCCCTGTTGAACAGCTAGTTCTGTGCATGAAAGAAAGGGAAATCATGATTCCTGGTCCAAGAAATTGGAACAAGGATGGTGCCATTGAAGAAAGTGAAAACTGGGAAGTGGGCAGGTGTGTGTGCATGTGCAGTTGTGTATGCAGATGTGTGGGCAGGTGTGTGTGTGTGTATGCAGGTATGTGCATAGGTGTACGTGCAGGTGTGTGTAGGTGTGTGCACGTGTGCGTAGGTGTGTGTGCAGGTGTGTGTAGGTATGAGGGCAGGTGTGTGTGCAGGTGTGTGTAGGTGTGTGTGCAGACATGCAGGTGTGTGTAAGTGTGTATGCAGGTTTGTGTGCTCTGGAGGCAGCCATGAAAAAAAGAAGGTACAGGAACATGGCAAAGAAAAGAAAATTATAAGTAGGGTGGTTTAAGAAGAGGTAAATTGATAAAATTATTTTTTTCAAGATTAACAATTCAGTTAAATCAGGATAACATGTCAAACTGTATTTTCCCACAGGCCTTGCCTGCTCTGTGTATGACACAGTGACAGGAATGAGCGGGAGACATGGGCTGGTGTGCAGGTCACAGGGTCAGCAGGCTCTGAGATTCAAAGGGGAGCCGAGACAGCACAGTAGTTACCACTGGTGAAGTTTAGAGTGGGCAGGGCTTCCTAGAGGAGGATGAGATCATCCCTGGAGGCCTGAGAGGCAACAGAGCTGAACATGGGTAATGTGCAAGTTCAAACAGTGTTCACAGCAGTAGTTCAGTAAGTCCTCCCCATCAGTAGTTCAGTAGGTCCTCCAGCCAGTAGTTCAGTTGGTCCTCATTTCAGTAGTTCAGTGAATCCTCCTGTTAGTAGTTCAGTCAGTCCTCCCGCCAGTAGTTCAGTCAGTCTTCCCATCAGTAGGTCAGTCAGTCATCCTGCTAGTAGTTCAGTTGGTCCTCACATCGGTACTTCAGTCAGTCCTCCTGTCAGTAGGTCAGTCGGTTCTCCTGTTAGTAGTTCAGTTGGTCCTCCTGTCAGTAGTTCAGTCAGTCCTCCATCAGTAGTTCAGTCAGTCCTCCTGTCAGTAGGTCAGTCGGTCCTCCTGTCAGTAGTTCAGTAGGTCCTCACATCAGTAGTTCAGTTGGTCCTCCCATCAGTAGTTCAGTTGGTCCTCTTATCAGTAGTTCAGTTGGTCCTGCCAGTGGCCAATCACATAATAAGAGTATAGGCCAACATCATTGTACTTCTCATTATGAGCTCTTGGGACTCTCCTGACCTCTTTATAGATAAGAATTGGGTTGGTCCTCACACCAACATGCAGTGGCTAGGATTGTGATGATTCTTAGAGTCCCTCTGGAGTCAGGTGCCCAATTGCAGGTGGGAACCATGCTCCTCCTATGGCCATGTGACCCTGGGGCAGCCATACCCACCTCCTCATACTTCCTTCTCTGTGTGATGGGGTCAGGATCAAAAGGCATCACTGATGTGGGTGTTTCACAGCTCCTGGCATGCACATGTGCTCTGCAGGTTTTAGCTGTTTCATGGGGACCCTTCAAGGGCACCAAGAAGTTGAGGACCCTGCCTCATCCCATGTGGAGGGATGGTGGGTGGCCAAGGCCTGTACCAGGGACACCTGGAGGCTGTGGTACTCAAAAGAGAGTGTGTGAAAAGAGACAATCTCTGAACTCCAGGAGGTCAAAGAACCAGAGTCAGAGGCCACATAAATCCACACATCTGCCCATTTGACTCTGTCCATTGCCCAACGATGAGTGCAGCATCCACCCACAGGACCACTAACTAAGGATGGGAGGGGCAAAGCTGGCAGCAGGCAGGAGCTAACTGGGAACAGGTCACAATGGCCTGTTTGGGCAGCCCTGTGTGGGGGAGATGAAGCAATAGAAAGCTTTAACTTCACTCGACTGTGCTTGCTTTCCCTACGCTTCTCTCACTCTGCTCATTTGTTTCCTGTGTCACAGTTCTTCAGTCTTCAGGAGCTTCTCTCTCTCCCACGAATTAACTGCAGAGTAACAGAATGTTCATATGGTCGTGTCCTATATAATAAAAGCCTAGGTGGCATCACATGCAATGTCATCACAAGATGGCCACCACAAGATGGCCACCACAAGATGGCCATCACAAGATGGCCGGCACGGGAGGGCAGTTGGGGGCAACCAGGTCTTCAGGGGAGGGCAGTTGGGGTCAATCAGGCCAGCAGGGGAGCAGTTAGGCATCAATCAAGCCGGCAGGGGAGTGGTTAGGGCAGCCGTGGGCAAACTACGGCCCACGGGCCGGATCCGGCCCGTTTGAAATGAATAAAAATAAAAAAAAAAGACCGTACCCTTTTATGTAATGATGTTTACTTTGAATTTATATTAGTTCACACAAACACTCTATCCATGCTTTTGTTCCAGCCCTCCGGTCCAGTTTAAGAACCCATTGTGGCCCTTGAGTCAAAAAGTTTGCCCACCCCTGGGTTAGGGGCAATCAGGCAGACAGGCAGGCAAGCAAGCAGTTAGGGGCCAGCAGTCCTGGATTGTGAGAGGGATCGGGCCTAAACTGGCAGTCGGACATCCCCCAAGGGGTCCCAGATTGGAGAGGGTGCAAGCAGGGCTGAGGGACAACCCCCCGCCCCGTGCATGAATTTCATGCACCGGGCTTCTAGTAAGGAAATAAGATTGTGTGTTCTCTAACCTTGTGGTGCTTTATTCATAAACTCCTGTGCTGCCCCTTAAGGTACAGAGATGTGCAGGAACTTGGCTTTTTTCTTGTAAAGAACAGTGGACACTGTACTCTCTGCTCACATGGGATGATCATGAGAGACCTGAGTACTGTCCTTGTCACACTTTGGAACTTGATTTGTGACCATCTGTTATATGTGATGAACTGAGTGCAGGACCCCTCCTTGCCTCCCTTCCTCAGCCAGGCACCTCACCAGTCTTCCCGAGTTCAGTCTAGCGAGCTCCCTGACCTACTGGGTCCCCGTGAGGAACAGACTCCCCCGTGCCTTCCATCTGGCACCCTCACCAGGTCCTCTCAGACAGTTCTCCCCTTTCTTGAGGCATGTGGGGCCTGACCGTCAGCCTTCTTTCTCAGGAAAAGCCGCATGGACGTTTGTTTCATATTCTAAATGAATTAGAGTCTTGACATTGAAAGCGATGATTGGTACAAGTACTTCAGGGATCCTCTCTCTGTATCTAGAGAAATTAGTACCTTGTCCTCGATACTGACGTCGATGGGATTGTTCACGGTTTGAACCAGTCTTTGAGAACAGCCTGGCCCTTTATACTTATTTCCCAGAGATGAGCTCCCTCTTTTCTCAGCCAAAGGAGAGAGCATGGTTGGTTTGATGGATTTTAGCCTCTTTCTTAAGGAACCAATAAGAAAAGAGTGACAGCCGGCCCATGCAGCGCCTGACTGTCCTCTCTAAGCCCTGTCTCTGTGATTACCCCGCAGGAGCGAACACCCGCTGGCCCAACTGTACTGTCACTCGACCCTGGAGCACCACCACTTTGACCAGTGCCTGATGGTCCTCAATAGCCCGGTGAGGCCCGGCGTGTGGCGGCCCGGAGGCTGCACAAACGCGGGGATATTTTAAGTGTTTGGGTTCATGCCCAGGATCCTAATTCCCGGGTGTGCGTCATTCTTTTTTGGGTAAGGAAGGCCGAGGTCCCCACAGCCTCGTCCCTGTGCACCCTAAGCTGCCAGCTGCCTGATAAGGGGGTTTGCTTACTTGCCTCACTTCGTTACTCTACATTGTTCCAAACTAGAAGCAAGCAAAGCTGGTGTTTTCTGGCTCTCCATTAATTCTGCCTTTTTTGGGGGGCGGGGGCGTAAAATTAAGTGGGTGAGACAGTGCTCAAGAACCTTTTCCTCTTTTTACTGAAACTTCTGACCACGAACAAATTGTTAAGGGATGAAGCTGTTCAACGCCTGGTGGAGACGGATGTTTATCCGTGTGAGAAAGCACATGACATGCTATGCTAGACGTATTTCTGTGGAGGGAAGTAAGCTTGAGAACATGTATACCAACCCGTTAGCCATGGTTGTTTCTGCCAAGTTAATACTTGTTATATTCTCATTCTGGTTCCTCCGTTACTTGCATGTCTGTTGTGTGCATGCATGGCATTATAGTAAGAAGCGTGAGTTATAGCTGCTGCTGGGACATCCTCCTACAGCAGGCTCCCCACCTCGAAGCAGACCCCTCCCTACACTCTGTCCCTGGAGGCCCCCACACGCAGCAGTTTACAGCCTTTGCCTGGGAAAGGGGAAATAAACACATAACACCGAAGACATTTCCTTTTAGACATCTCCTTTCCCCTGGAAATGGTTTGACCTTACACCCAATGAAAGTATTGGAAGATATTTTCTGAATAGTTTTCTGTTCAGCCCAGAATCTAAAATGACTTGATATTTTAAAGTAATGTTCGTCAGTTCGTCAGTTAGACACATGCCCGATTTCAGCCTCCAGCTCTCCACTAAGCGACGATCTTATCTGGGCCCGGCACCCCCAAGTGCCCTGTGTTCAGAAGCACCCGCTGCCCTGGTCCCCAGTCCTGAGCCGCTGGTTCCCTCAGCCCTGGGACTTAGAAAGCACACCTGCCTCCCATGCAGATGTTGAGTTTATTCTGAGAACCGAGGCACGTTTTACTCAATTCAAGATGAGAGATTTGCTTTAAATTCCAGGCAGACACAACACAATAATTATGTAGTTACAGTGTTTGAGTGTTTGCCCGGGGATCAGCCCCTTTTAAAGAGTCCTTCCTGGTTTCATACCGTGTGTGCTTCCCACCAGGAGGCCCACCTGTAGGCATGTTCCCAAGGACTACACGCTGCTCTTGATATTAAGTTAAAATTACATAAATGTGTGCCAACGTGTCACTGGATTTATCACAAAAGCCATAGAGAAAAAAATGTGTTAGTCACCAATTGTTTAGAAGTTTCACCATTCCGTTCTTCATTAATGTGGCTTTGAGTGTTCAAGCTTCACTTGCAGTTGCAATATAGCAAGTAAGCTGCCCATGGCTAGATAGTTAGCCTTTAGGCTGGCGGAGGCCCGGGGGGTAGGCAGTTGGCACACAGGCACAGGAGGCGGGTGCACCAGTGGGAAGCCGGCGTTTCCTAGGAGACCAGGCCGTGGCATCAGGCATTCACTCTCTGGAAGCAGGTGGCCCATGCGCACGACTCCGAACCCCAGGCCCGTGGTTTAGCTGTGACCGCGTTTTCTGCTGTCCTTGTGGGGTGCTCCTGTGGGGTACTCCTGGAGGTGCTCCTGTGCAGTGCTCCCGTGGGGTGCTCCTATTCGGTACTCCTATGTGGTGCTCCCGTGAGGTTCTGACGATGGTTTTCTTCTCTGTGAAGGGGAACCAGATCCTCAGTGGCCTCTCCATCGAAGAGTATAAGACCGCGTTGAAGATCATCAAGCAGGCGATTCTGGCCACAGACCTGGCCCTGTACATTAAGTAAGTCTCCCCAGTGCCCTGCGATGAGTGGGTGTGGGAAGAGTGTGCTGTGTTTCACATGGGGACACGTCTAGGTTATAGGACTGTGTGCAGTTCTTAGAGGCGGAAATGTAGAACTTGGACATTACTGACGCAGGACGTAGCGTGCATTCATGGGTGAGTGTGCGTGTACTGCGTGGACAGGCTGTGGTTTGCACATGGGACTGCAGTCTGGGTGGCGTGTGGCAGTGAGGGGAGAAAATGGTCACACTCACGTGATTTCCCTGAACACATGGCCCTCTCTCCCCTCGCACGGGGAGTCACGCCTGTGCGTAGGCCATTGATGAGGAGTAAGCACACACAGAGCAAACAGGAGCACGGACACCTAAAGGGAGCTGCCGTTGGCATCCCTGCTTCCTGAATTGGGGAGCACTTTAAACTCAACCAGGACAGTAGAGAACTGAGTCCATTTCAGCTGGTTCAACATGATGGCGGAGTGAAGATGATCATATAACCAAGAATTAGAAAAACACCTATAACCACATGCCTCCCACCTTTCCAGGCCACGGGTCTCTCTGGAACCGGAGTTTCATTGTTGGTTCTTGGTCACAGGCCGTCCATTCTGTTCCATAAGTTCCCTGTTTTCCTGATGTCTCTGGCATCATGGCTTCTGGAGATGTCGACAGCACTGGGCACTGAGGAACTCCCTGGCCTCCAATAGAGGCTTCTTCCAGGTGTCTCCATGTTTCTTTGCCTCAGAAGCAATTCACAACTTTACACTGACATAGAGCACTTGTTATGCCTTTTTATTTACCCTATCTCATAATACAGATGCATTATATGAAATTATACTGAAATCATATAGTTCTTCTTTGCCATGCACTTAAAATTCCTTAAATCATTCTCAGCATCCCATTTTAACTCACATTGTCTCACTTTTTTATATACTTTTTTAAAAAACTTCAGAGAGGAAGGGAGAGGGAGAGAGCGATAGAAACATCAATGATGAGAGAGAATCATGGATTGGCTGCCTCCTGCATGCCCCCGACTGGGGATGGAGCCTGCAACCCAGGCATGTGCCCTGACCGGGAATCAAACCATGACCTCCTGGTTCATAGGTCAACGCTCGACCACTGAGCCACGCCGGCCAGCCCATCTCACTTTCATGAAGTTGTGTTTAGGAATGAGATTACCACTGTCTGTGGTCTGTACAGGTGAGGTCAATGCTTCACCCAAAGGAAATGGTAGAAGGAGGGAAAGGGAGGCATTCACAGTTTTTAAATGATGGTTTTTATGTTGGGTTCTAAGATGGGTAAAATCCACTGGAGATTTTCTCCCCCCAAAAATTGAGTCCATGATTCTTTCTAGACCAAAGGGATAAGATGAGACCTAGGGACTCCTCATAACAATCAATGTTTTTCTTTCTTTCCAAGGAGGCGAGGGGAGTTTTTTGAACTTATAAGGAAAAACCAGTTCAACTTAGGAGACCCGCACCAGAAGGAGCTGTTTCTGTAAGTGGCCTCTGTCCACCCCACACGGAGGTCTAGTTTCCAGTAAATGTGATTAGTGGCAGGTTGTGTTGTGAGCACTTGTCACAACCCAGTGACCTAGAGGCTGTGGGAATTCCCACGTTGAACTAAGGGCGGGACGTGAATGTTAAAACAAAAGGAAATGCGTAG